GATTTCTATTGAACATTCTAGTATATGTAGCCAGTGGTTCTAAATATTTCCTTAAGTATATAATGCTTCTCCGTTTTTGTGAAAATGTGCCCGATGAAACTTACTATTCTGAAGTTTACACTTCAGTCGACCTCAAATTGTGCGAATGCAATTAAAATGCTATCCTAATTCTCTGCACACATGTTTCAAACGATTTACCATGTGTAATTGTGACGGAGATTTCAATTTCACCACGAATAGGGGCACTGGAATCTCGATTGAGTCGAAAATTTAGTTATAGCATTTGATAGGACTTACCAGGTTCACCTGGAGAAGAGCAACTCTACACTGTGCCTATAGTCATTAATTTTTATTGCATGAAGTCTCATTCGCGAGTATTATATAAATAAATAGCCTACACATTCAAAGTCCCTTACTAGGGAGTGTATGTATAGCGAGTGCCATGGACACTCATTAAAGAACCATGAATTACACCCAAACTCACAAGAGCCATTTGGCCTACATTTAATTTTCCCGACTCGCGAATCAACCCCGAGATCTCTGCGTAGTAGCCCAGTAGGGTAACCGTTCGGCCATGGAGGCAGTTAAATAAGTTAAAATACATTTTATCGAGTTATTAGATCTGTTACACACTGCGACCTTAAGTAACGATGCAAACGCGATGCAGTCGCTAATTGTCTACCTCTACAAAAACGCGCGACTTTAAGCAGTGACGCAAACGCGCGACTGCATCGATACAAACGCGCTATTGCGTCGCTATACTTGTGATTTATTGGCGAATGCATCGATGCAATCGCGCGTTTGTATCGATGCAGTCGCGCGTTTGCATCACTGCTTAAATTCGCCGTGTGTAACCACTCTAACGTTTACGCAATTGCTGTTCAAATATAACAAAACTTTTCAATACAACAGTTACCAACGAGAGGGCTATGTGTAATTCATTCCAAATGTTTTTCCATTGGCGTTAACCTACCTCTACACCGATAACTTAACGAAACCTCTGTATTGTCACTAAACATTCACAAATGTATTATACATTTACAGAATGCACAAATATATCAATTTGCAGATCTCGTCATGAGAGTTGTTAACATTTAACTACTGGTCAGAGAACGACCTTCAGAGTACGCGAGCGTAATTCTATAAATACGAGCAAATACTCTGTGGCCACATTGTTGTATCAGGGTGTGGTCACTTCCTTAATAAGCATGAATATGTTAAACTATTACGTCAATTATACAGAATTGATTAATGATCTCGTTGAATTTAAATTATTATCCTCGATCGTAGGTGTTGCTAAGTTGTTAGATCTAGTTTTAGGTTAGAGGTTCATAGTTGTTGTTCCCATAAACATTGTTGCACTCATAATTATCTTTACTTAACAGCTTTCTTACAAGGGTTGACTCATCATCACAAAATATGGGAATAAAAACAAAAGGTCACAACGTGATAACAAACGACAAAGCCTGATGACTAAATTGAAGAGTACAACATTTTCTAAACCGATGAGAGTTGCCCAGAGAGCCGCTTAGGATGAAACTGTAGACCGAGATTCGGAATTCAAAAACGAACAAAGATCATAGGAGAATAGAAGACATGAAGCTACGCTGGAGATACTGGAAAGTATACTAATAATAGACAAAGTTATAATCTGAATGGTGATCAAGAAATTTTACTAGCAGTAGTGCTTCTTGTGAGAGAGTTCATCCAGGGAAGAACTGCCACCTTACCTATTTCTGCCGCCAAGCAGTAATGTCAGCATTACATGTTGGCGAAATTATAGGCACATGGGACTTGTCAACTTATGTCTCAGGGTGACGGGAGCATTGCACTGTGATTCCCCCATAGGCCATAAATCAAAAAAAATCATTGGCTTATCCCGGTTAGATCAACTCACTAAGTTAGTAACTAGTTAACAAGCTTCCAAAAACTATAAATATCAATGTAATTAGGTCACGTTATCATTCACTTTTGTACATCGGAAGTGAGCGCATCGCGAGACTAATTATCACCACGTGTGAGTCATCGAAACTTAATCACTTTGTTTTTGAGTGTCACTATTCCAAATCAAGTGTTTACGTGTTGTGAAAGCATGGAGATCCAAGAGCATGGTATGTACTTTTATTATCAATTTTTTTAAATTTTTTTTATGCATATTTTTTTTATATAATTTTTTTATTGAAGGCAGTTTTTTGGTGAAAATTTTTGGCATAACTTAATTTCCTTTAGACCTACAACTTTTGGCTGCGCTGAGCTGCACCTGAGGTATATGGTTTTTGAATAAGGAGTATGTCCTTATTAAGAGCTATAAGTTTCATTTGCATCTTGCTGCCTCTTCTTGGCTTAAAGGGGTGTCAAAGTATGCATGTCCATAGTATTGAATTTTTAATTTTTTTTTAAGTTCAGCTTTCATATTGTTTTAGGTACATTTTTCAAATGTTCTGTATCGAGGATGACAATTTTTGATATTTGGCACTCTAAAGTGGGTAATCCAAATGAAAAAATGCAACACGTCCTGAGCACTTTGACCGAAACATCATCCCTTTCTGACGACATCGAAAATATTGATTTAGAGACTTTAAGCCTTAAAATTAAGAATATTTGTAAACGAATTTCCCACTACTGGGCAAAGTCGAATCGTACTAGATCTAAATTCTTAGAAAAATATTCAGATTGGCTGCATGTCGTTGAAAATATTGATGTACAGCGAACTGAGTTACGTGTATCTCAGAGCTTTGACGAAGTTAAACCATCAACTTCTTCATCGCATGGCCGTCCGAGAATTAACTTTGACGACACCAGTAAACGTACAAAAAGGAGAAGATTGGCTAGTTTGTCTAACCAAGACCCTTCTCTTGTACAGTCATTGCTCAATGCGTCCGATAGCTTGTCTTGTCCTGAAATCGATTCTAGCGAAGTTTTATCGCTCATTGTTGAAGCTCAGTTAACTCGACATCAATATATATTAGTAAAGAAATTTATAGACAATAAGTTTTCAAAAACCATTTTCCCATCTTACCAAAGTGTCGTGGAATCTAAAAAACACTGTTATCCTTCAGATATTACTGTTACAGAATCATCCGCCGAAGTCGAACTTCAAAGTTTATTAGATCATACTGCCAATCGGATTCTCAAGTCTCAAAAAGATGTTTTGGATAGTGTACCTAATGAGTCTCTAGATAAGATATCTTTGATAGGGAAATGGGGTTTCGATGGCAGTACAGGGCATTCAGAATATAAACAGTGTTTTTCTGACTCCACTCTTGAAGACAGTAGCCTGTTTGTTACTTCGTATGTGCCACTTCAGCTTGTTTTGACAACAGATAACAAAGAAAATTCAGTAGTTTTGTGGAAAAATCCTCGTCCTTCATCAACTCGATACTGTCGTCCTATACGCCTCCGATATTTGAAGGAATCGACTGCTGTGTCAGTTGAGGAAGAAGCTCATTTTAAAGATAAAATAAGGAACTTGCAGCCTACTGTTTTCAAGGAAGAAGATCGCGAATATCGCATTACTCATTGTTTGCAACTTACTATGGTAGATGGTAAAGTGTGTAATGCACTTAGTGGTGTTTCTTCATCAAAATGTTTTATTTGTAACGCCTTGCCCAGTGAAATGAACAAAATTGACGAATGTTTAAATAAGGAAGTCGATGAGAGTAAATATGAATTTGGTTTATCACCTCTTCACGCGTTAATACGTTTTTTTGAATATTTTGTTCATGTCGCGTACAAGTTAGATGTTAGGAAATAGCAAGCTAGGTCCGCTAATGACAAAATGCTTGTTGCTGCAAAAAAATCATATGTTCAGACTCAATTTAGAGAAAGATTAGGGCTTATAGTGGATAAGCCTAAAAGTGGCGGAAGCGGAACATCAAACGATGGTAATACAGCCAGGCGGTTTTTCTCGAATTCAGAAATTTCCGCTGAAATTACTGGGATCAAGAAGGATCTCCTAGATCGTTGCTGGATCATCCTTCAATGTTTAAATTCGGGATATAATATTAATAAGACGAACTTCGAAGAGTTCGCTTTAGAGACGGCTCGGCAGTTAGTTGCCGAGTATCCGTGGTATAACATGCCTGCTTCCGTTCACAAAGTTCTAATTCATGGTGCTAATGTTATAGATTACGGTTTGTTGTCAATCGGAGAGTTGTCTGAAGAAGCAGCTGAAGCGACTAACAAATACATCAAGTCTTTTAGAAAAAATCATACGCGTAAAATGAGTCGCATTGTGACCAACACAGATTTAGTAAATAGGCTGCTTCTTCATTCAGATCCCTTCATAACAGGTCTACGAAAGTTACCTGTTAAAAAAAAGGTGTACTGTCAAAAGCTGTATTAGACTTGTTATGTATTTAAAGTTAATATTGTTGAGATTTAATGTATTTTGGTATAATTTGTGTTTTGTTTGTATTTTGTAAAATGAACTTTTTTATGTATTTTTATTGTTTTAATTTATTCATTTGTGGTTATTGTTAATACAAATAATCATTATTTACACAGTTTTACCATTAAAAGTCGCAGTATAAAATGTTTTAGATACATCGTCTAAAAACAAAATTACTGCGAGACATTTTTACACCTAAATATTGTCAAATATTTTTTTAAATGTATAATTTTATTAATTTACGTTTACCTAATCATATTTTAACGTAATAAAATAAAAAAATAATAATAATTTCGGAGTTACGTATTTATGACCGCCTTAGTATGGAGCGTGAATCACCGTGCAGTGGCAGTGTCCCTCAGATCGTTGCGATTTGAAGCTCTGCAAGCGTGTAGCTCAGACACATGACTTGTTCGTCCCGTCACTTGATATTATAAAAAAAAAGAAGCGGTTACAAAAACGTGGAACATCCTGAAGCGAGATGCGTACACCACGTCATAATTGTTGCAGATTGATATGAGCCTAGTACAAGATGGTCGATGATGCAAGTTACTGGGGAGTCTGATGATAATGAAAAGTAAACACAAGCTTTTTTATATAAAAAACAATAACTTGTTTATACCGATTTATTCACATATTTACAAACATTCAATACCAATCAAGGCATTTGCGTTTAGAAGTAACGAGCGTAAGGGTACGCGAAACGAGCGCCGGCGTAGGGGTAAGCTAATTTTCCATAATTGTAGGCGTAGGGGTTAGCGTAGGGTGCGGCGAAGGCGTAAGGAGCGGCGTACGCGGCAGGAGCGGCATATGCGGCGGGGGCGACGAAGGCAGCGGGGTCTTTGCGGACGACGGCGTTGAAGCCACCAGCGCCAGCGGCGTAATCAACGGTACGGCGGGTGCCGTCAGATTCCAGGAGGGAGTATTGTCCCGCTACATTATCACCGGCGCGGTTCTCAACCTGGCTCTTGAAGTCACCGGTGTAGGGATCAGCGACGCCGTAGGAGAAACTGGAGACATCGGAGGCGGCAGCCGCGGCCACAAGGGCGAGGACAACGAAAAACTACGACAAAATTAAAATATTGAGGTAAAATTACACAGAAAACTTTTGTGAAAATATATGCAAATTACCGGGAAGTTTTATTTTATAAAAATGCATTCTTAAAGAAACTTTTGAATTCTAATTAGATTCACTATACAATGCAAAAATATACATAGTAATCATTGGCCTACGTACATAATAATAATGACAACTTTTCAGGAGAGAATATTAAAGATTCTACGAACGAAATTGGTCGGTAACTTTTTTATGCTTAAGAATTGACACTACCCCAGCTTGAATTCAAATTTTTCCCGTCATTTTGCTTTTGTCGAGCGGTAGGGACACTGGCTTTGTTTTAGAATTTTACGAAGGAAATTAAAGCGATTTGAAAAATATATAGCTTATAGTTTAGTACGCGTTCTATTTAGCTCAGTTGATATAAAAAAGAAATATTGGTATGTCGTCGGAGATAATGCAAATCCGCGCATGTAATATTGGTAGAAGGCGCGTATCTGCACCAAATCAAATTCCACACGAAAGGGATTTAATTACTCTGTTGTTTAAATGGCTACGATTTTCATTATTGAACAGTAAGCATTAATTTGTGTTGACTGCGAACTGATAACAATAGTTCCCCGTAAACAATTTTGTCGCTTTTTTGGAAGCAACATTACATTATAGATCTTGTTCCAATCACTGTACTTTGGGATCACAATGTAATTGCTGATATATCCTTACCTTGGCAACCATTGTAGAGTAGATGTGACAACGTCGGCGAATCTTGTGATTCTGATGTCGTCCTAGACCTTCCATGGACTTATATACCATCAACAATGATCCTGTTCTCAAACGACATTCTTGTTGAAGAAAATCAGGAAGTCTATGAGGGCGGAGTTGTATTAAAATGTCAATTTGCAATATTAGTACTTGCTTTATTTGCATGCTATTAATTTGTGGCTTTTAATTAATGGTTCTAATGGTTAGCTCAATAAGCGCTTGTTAAAAAGGTCGCAGGTGCGATACCCAGTAGGACCAAATTGTGTAATATATTTTTTTTAATTGGTTTCCGTCTGGGTGTTTTGGGTAACATATCCGAAATTGGTTTCATTTACTCTAGCGCTCATACTCCTGGGTATTCACCGCAAGTTTGAGACCAGGTTTCAAAAAGGAGGAGGTTCTCAATTGGACTGTATTTTTTGTATGTATGTTAAGTACTCCGGCATTTATGAACCGATATTGATGATTCTTTTTCGTTGGAAAGGGGGCACCTTGGTATTGGTCACGTTTAAATTTGAAGAAAATATTCCACCTCTAAGGGTGACGAACTAGGGGATGAATCAGGGTTCGCGCACTTTCCGGTAACCGATTCCAGTAAAATTTGGCAAATAATATATGTACATAAATGTAATTTATAAAAAAGTGACAATTACCTATATAATACCAACTGACACAAGTGAAACAAGTCGTGAGACTGATATTTAATTATTATCAATCTGTTTGATTTTGGGTATTTAACTTAGATTATCATCTCTCCCATGGCTTTAAAGTTAAATATTTTTTTTGTAATAGCTGTAATAGCAGTGACACTGTCGGCTGGGATCAGGGATTCGGGTTCAAAAACAAATGGTACGTGTAACATAATATCATATTATCAAATTACAATCAGGTGATTTCGGTTTTATAGAGCGATGTCTATGTCAATCATACGCTTGTCGCTGATTTTAGAATTAATTTAAAACATTTATTGCAACCACGATACAAATATAGTTGTTACAAGTAAATAATGTATCACATAGACTATGGCAGGGTATAGCAAAGTGTACATAGATATAGTTTGTATTATAATAACTTGTAATATTAAGTCGTGATAGAAATGTATGTTTAAATCAGTAAATAGTAAATATAAATATACGTAAGCTTATACATCGTGGTTAATTTGTAAAAAAAAACAACTTATTCAGTATCCTACACTGATTTAAACACACATAAGGCCTTTGTAACTCATCCAAAGAACTATCGACAAAGTAAAGCCTTTTATTTACTAAAAGAATACTTTTTAGAAAACAGTGCTTAAAAACGAATTGCCGTATACATACAACATACGTGTATCAGGAATGAGGCCTGAATATAAAAGGAATGTACTAATATTTATTGTTGATATTGCCTAAAATCGTGTTTAGTTTTTTGTTATTATTCATTGCTAATTTTATTTAAATAATGTATAATAGGTTTTAGTAAAGTAAGGACATAGTGCCCTCAGAATGTTGCAGTGCCCACTGGGTATTATATGTCAAGTACCATTAGCATAAGCACACCTGTTTTATAACCATTTTACTTGCAAATAAAGAATATAAATAAATATGAATGTGAAACATCAAACTAAAGATAATTCTTGCAAAAAAAAAAAATTTTCTGTAAGCTTTTAAGCTATTACTCCGTCAGTTGTGAACCCATTTTGATGATTCTTTTCTTATCGGAAAGAGGTTACCTCAGTATTTAAATGAAATTTAAAGAATCTATTCCACTTCTAAGGATGCCAAACTAGGGGATGAATCCGATTTCACGCACCTTCCAGTACAATAAATCTTGACAAATTCCATGAACTTTCGAGGTCGGTATTTATTAATGAAAAAGTTATTATTCAGATTTTATGACAAATAATTTCACTACGGTATTCTGAATATGGAATCGAGAAGAATTTTGCATTTTTCTATATTGATGCACTCTGTTGTCAGATACAAAAGTCCACCTTATCTATATTCAAAATTACAGTGGTATACTTATTCATACAATTGCAGGATAAATAGTTTTTTATTGGTGACACCTTTTCATAAAACAAGAGCCTTTGAGGGTAGTTTCCTGCCTCAGGCATCTAAATGCTGGAACAATCTGCCTCCTCCACTCAGACAAAGGATCTCTAAATCAACATTTAAAAAACATATAAAAAAAGTGTTACTAGAAAACCAGCGTATGCTCTGATGCCGAACTTATTAATGATATTTACATATATTTATAACTTTTATTTAAATGTATACGTGTGTCGTAAATGTGTAGTGTGGCTTAAAAGGAAGGATATACATGTACCATTTCCTCGGGACTCAGTCGACGCCGATACAGGAACGACTGAAAATCAGCGTCTGTTTCGACCGAGATAGACATATTGCTGAGTCGTATCCTTTTCCTCGCTTGAGCCACTACGCACACTTACTAACTTAAATTAATAAGTCACTTGTTGTTTTCTTTTTAGTTGTAATTTTAGATATGAGTGTGTGTAGTGTTTCAATTCAGTGAATAAACTTCTTTCTTTCTTTCTTTCTTTCTTTCACTAGTTAAACTACACCACATAGAAAAAATATTTTCCCCGTTTGACTTGAACCCGCGACTATGCTGCACTGAAAGAAAGATATTATGATAAGATATATTGGAATCGTGATCTTGCGTTTGACAATTTGTGTACTCAAGAATTAATAATTAATGTTAGTGATGATTCCCGTTCAAATGGAGAAGAATCCGTCGATTCATTATAAGAACTATTATAACTATTTGTAATTTATTTATTTCATTATAATTTATTAGACAGGTACCAAAATTAAACAATTTGAATAATCTTCGTTACATAATCTGTTGGCTCGATAAATATCGAAAGTAAAGAGCACGTCGCTTCACTAAAATTAAAAAATAAAAGAGTCCAGGAAGTATTGCATTTTTTGTCTATGGTTGTATAGGTATTGTATGAAATAATTTGTCAATCGTTGCGAATTAACCCGAGGTTAGCCGAATACGACCGATAACATTTTTCTAAATATTTAATATTTACGGCCTGGTATTGCATCTTTTTCATACACAAATAGAATTTAGTCACTGTTAACACCAACGTAAAGGATATTTGTCTATTTTCTTTTTTATCTCTTTTGTCAGTATCCCTAAAAACACTTTTTTTTATTTCGTCACTTTGTTATAGAAGGTGTGAAAAATGACCATTGTTCTCTTTGCAAACTTATTAAAATTCATCACACCAATTCAGACCGCTGTGTACGTCACCAATATAGCACACATAAGTTCGTTTCCTACGTCTGTCCAAAATGTGTTCAAATTTCCTATTCTCCGCCATTTATCACTACAGATTAGTTGACATAAAAGGTATTAGCATAATATAATTTGGACAAAGAGTGTCCATACAAATGTAGCTTGTCGCGTATGGACATACACATTCTCGCAGTGCACTCACATTGCACACCGCGCGTCACACACGCCATTTATAATAAGGCGCCGCACAAACGTTTGTCTTGTATTGATTAAAGATGTGCAAAGCACATAGAAAAAATCGTAAGGTTGGCTCAGTTGGCAAAGCTGGCACGGTTTGCTAGAAGACGTTGGTTCGAATCCAGTCGGTTCGAAGGAAATTTTCTTAGTAGTCGTCCTTCGTATTAATAAGTATAACAAACTAGTGGAGTAATTTCACTAAAAAAATTTAAAATCATGGTGGTAAAACATTTAACTTAAACTCTAAAGTTGTTATAATTATTGTTACACCAGCGATATAGTTTAAAAACGTTTTGCTTAAAAATTGCCAGTAGTTACAGGTTTAATCTGAAATTTGTTGTTACAGAAATTGAATTGCTATTCACCGAGTGTTAGGCTGACTTTAAAAGCTCGAGTGAAATAATATACCACTTAGTATTCAAGGTCCATAATTTCGTTATGAAAAATGGGGACAGTGGTCTTTGGAGGAAAATAGGATTAGTAGGGGCAATATAGCAAACAGTGAGACGTTAGGAATAATGAATTAATGATGCATGGGACAGCCACACCTATTGCCAGGACTCAAACTAGGGAAATTCCCTGTGATATGAGTACCAGAGCAACGGAATTCACTCCAAAGCATTGTTCAGAACACTTAAACCAGAAATGATTTAGAAAAGTTCATTTCCAAATTGAAATCTACCGGGAATCAGCTTTCTCAACCACTGCCCAAAGTGCAAACCATTGGGTCACCAAGACCGTCTGTAAAAGGGGACTTTATGAAATATTAGGAACCAAATCAAACCGACAAATCTTTGCAGTTTTCTGATTACAGATTACCAATGCTCAGTCTTGCTATCTACCATTTTTCCACATTCAGGTCAATTTTTTTCGCCGCCTACTCGCTAGCAACAGTTTAAGCGTCTTTGGCCCACTGTATCGAGAAAGAAACTAAACATTGTTCTCTTCGCATCGGAACTTATCCTTTTGAAATAGCTGATCAGAAAAAGTTTCAAGCAACGAACCGGCAACTACCGGAATTCATCGTTAGGGTTTACATAGTAGGATAGTCTTACTAACGCACGGTATTATAAAACAAGACGGACTATACTAAAAACCTTAGGTAACTAACTAAATGTAAACAAACCGTAATGAAGTACCTTATGAGGCATTGCCTGGTTACATATTGTAAAATAAAAATGAACTTTTAAAAAATTGGTTTTAAATCATTGACTTACAATTATATGGACGTCGCGTCCGCGCTAAAAAGTGTCCGAACTTATAGGGCGTTAAAAACGTATACAGAGCGTCATTCACGTTTCAGTCTTCGTTTGTTCGACTGACAGCGAAGCAAGCAAAATTAGATAGTACTGCGATGACAGTACAATTTAAATTCAACGTTTTAGCTTTTTCATATTCCTTTACATGTCACTACGTTTGAATAGGTTGACTTGGGACACTTTTTCCGCGGTTTTTGTATGAGACCCGTCGTCCCTTTATTTGTAAGTCAATGCTTGTATCACAACTTTCCTACGACAAACAACCTAAAATCCAGCTTTAAAAAGATGACAGATAATAACATACCACCAGATT